CCGTCTCCTGAGCGCTCCCCCCCCTCTCTCTCTGCACCCTCCGCCTCCTTCTTCCGAAAGCATCGCCTCCCTGCAGCAGCAGCAGCTGCCCAGCACCTCATTAGCCTGATCTGTAATTAAGGTGCAATTTTACTTATGGGTGCTCACTCACGACAGATGGAGGTGTGGAAGAAAAACAGGATGTGAGGAAATTATTGGGGCTGTATTTTGGGGTTGGGGGTGGGGGAGGGGGAGCCCTGCTTGGTTCTCGAGTCTCCTCGGGAGGTCAGTCTGGCTGAGCCCCAAAAGATGCCACGCCTGGACGTCGCCCCTCCTGCTTGGCATCCGAACCGCTCCTTGCTTGGCAGCGACCCCCGTTGCCCACCCCCCAAAATCTGTCTGAGCCCCTCGGCTTTGCCTCCAGCTAATCTTCTCCTCCGAGGGGGCCTTGCAGCTGTCCCGGCTCAGACCGATTACCCCTTGATCCCGGGCGCAAGGCCACTCCGTCTGGGTTACCTTGCCCACAAAATGACACCACTTTTTTTCTTCTCTCTTCTCTCACACACACACCCCTGGTTGCTGAGTGCAACTCCCCCCCCCCACAAAATTCAAGGCACTGGCGCTTCGTTTTCCACCGGGGGGGGGAATGACTTTTCTTGGACTACAACACCCAGAATCCCCCATAACTCTTCTAAGGCCTGCACTTCGGATAAGAGAACCGGGAAAGGCCCTTGCTGGTCTGTGTGCTTCTACCGTAAAGCGGCCCATTGGCAGGGCTGCTGTGATGTCACAGAGTGTCTGTGATGTCACCGCCTATGATGTCAGGACCATGTCTTGCTTTTAACCACTAGGCCACTGCTGGTTGCAAATGCAGCTCTCTTTCCTGGGGGATCCTGTGTTCGAAAAGTGCTCCCAGCTCCCTGCACCTTCCACCTTCTGGATCGTTTTGGGGTCCCTCCCTAATTAAAACGTGCAAAACCAGATGACAGAGGAGCAGAGGCTCCTCGCTTGGCCCAGCCGAGGAGATTGAGGTCTTCCTGGGTGGAAAGCCCGCCAAGCGGGCTCTCCAGCCTGATTAGCATCATCCCATCACGAGGCCTATTTTTAGCCCCTCGCTTCACGACGAAGCACCCAGGCAGAGTGATGTCAAAGCAGGCCGTCCTCTGGGCAAAGCCAGAGGAGGGAGACGGGATGGGGGGGATGCAACGGTGTTTTCGGCCTGGTTCCCCCCGGGGCCCCCAGTTCCAGGACTTTGCAGGCTTGCTGCTGGAGGCAGACGGCGATGAGGAAGCTGGTCTTTGGAGGGCTGCAGGAAAAGGGAAAGGCACGGGGCCGGCAGAAAGGGGCTCCTCCTTCTTGGGCATCACGCCCAGAAGCAACATTAGGTGAGCTGGTAAGGAGCGCTGGTTACATCCTGAGCTTCAAAAAAGTTGCTATATGAACCATTTCGGGACCTCAGTTTCCATAAAATGCGGCCAAAGTGCTAGCCTTCCGATCTTCCCAGGCTGCGCACCCCATCGGCCCCCCCCACTAAGTCTGCTTGTTGCTGTTTATCCAAAATCTGGAGTTACTCCCTCCAGATTTAGGAAAATTCAAAAACGGAGCAAGGGGAGGCCTGCTTCCGAGAAGCTGTGAACACTCTGCCTGTAGAAACGCGCTGTCCTTCAGATTCCACAGGATTCCTTTCTTCTGGTCGCATCTTGGTAATAAAAGCGGGTTTTGAAGCAGCGCTCATTGTTGGCCGGCTCTCCCCAAGAAACCCAAACTACCACTCTTTTTACCTCTGGCCAGTTCCCCAGCCCAAAAACACACACACACTTAGGTGTAGTTTGGGGTCTGTTTTGGTAAGGAAGTAGAGCGCGTAACCGGAGGTGTGAGTCGTGACACGCCAGCCGGGCTGGCCTGCTTTCCAAGCACCCAGCACTGGGCTTTGGTAGAATAACCGCCCACCCCTTTGGGTGCCGGGTATGCTTCGTCCATTTCTTCTGTGTAAATGTTTCAGCCCGAATACATCTGGTCTCGCCTTCTGATCTTGGAAGCTAAGCTGGGTCAGATCCAGTTAGCCTACAAGGAAGAGCCCGGAAACTGGTCCTGCCCAAATCTCTGGGAGAAAAAAAGACAGCGATCGGTCAGAGGAGAGCACGCGGGCCCTAGACAGGCAGGCAGGCAGGCAGGCAGGCAGGCAGGCAGACAGAGAGACAGAGACAGACAGACAGAGAGACAGAGAGACAGACGGGAAGGCTCTGGCTCGAAGTTCAGGCCGGCGGCTGGACTCCTTCGGAGGCACCCACGTCCATGTCTGGGAGGTCAGAGAAGGGAGAATAAAGTAGGAAGATTGATAATGGGCTGCACCGCTGCTGCTCGGCCGAGGCCTCGGCGGACGTACCCGGAGCCCCCAACTGGGCAGGGGGGGGTCTCCTCGAGGGGCAAGGGGGGGGTTCTCCCAGCCCAGCTTTCCAGGGGCCACACGGCAGGAGCATCCTCGGAGGAGAGAGTTTTGTGTCGTGCCAAGACCCCCTTTCCTCTCCGCTGAGGTGGCGGGTTTGACTTCTACCCCAGCTGGCAGGCTGTCGCCCTCGATCAGCGCCGGATCCTGCCTCCACGGTAATTCCACCTGGCAGGCCAAAAAGTTATCCGCAGCCTGCTCCCCCTCCCGATAAAACAAAAACAAAATAAAATCAGCCTCACTAGAGGTTGCAGGCAGATCTGGAACAACACTCCTGCGCTCAAGGCCGCCAAAAAGGGGGAGGGGGTGCGAGGCGCTCCTGGGTGGTGGCTTGCTGGGTTTCTTAGGCCAAGCGGCTAGACCTCATGGTTGCAGGAACACAGCCGGAGCCCCGGGGTGGATGCCCAGTGAAAAGACGGGCATGCCATGTATCTCCAGTCATCATCTCCTGGTCAGTGGCCCGAAGGCGATTTGAGCCCAGGGGCTGAGCGGCGTGGTCTCCTCTTCTCCCCCACAGGTCAGAGAAATAAACGGGGAGGAAAAAACCCTCTCTTTTCTGTGGGGATCCTGGGATTTAAGGCATTGTGTGCAAGCTTTGGAATCACACAGCACTCTTCTCTCTGAAAGCGAAAGGGCCGCACAGAGGATGTGGGGATCCTAATTTGGGGCTTGTTTGGCTCGCCCCAGTCCTGCAGGCCTCGCAGCTTTGGCCCAAACCCAGCTTCCTTTCTCTGAACAGGCACCAAAGAAGAACTCTGTGTGACACAGAAGCTGATGTGTTTTAAATGAAAGACTGGAAACTCCTCCAGCCTGGAGTCAGGAGAGGGGAAGAGGGAGAGAGAGAGAGAGGGAGAGGGAGACCTTAAATGATCTTGGTTATGGCTCTGAGCGGCCCAGCCATCTCTCTCAAGACGCTCCAGCGCCCGGGGGAGGCAGGCAGGCTTTATTTTTGGGCTCTGTTCCAGCGGTTTCCAGGCTCTCACAGGAGGCTCGGCCACGTGGAGGACCCGGGCATCTCAGGCCCCCAACACACGCACACGCGCACACACACACATCCCGATGGTAAATATGGCAAAAGGCGGCGGCAGAAATCCAGAACAGCAGCTTCGGCGCTGAGCTAATCTTGGCTTGGAATCCTATTAAGGGGGCAGCGGGATCCCTTAGCAGTTTAAACAGTGCAGAAGATCAAGCTGGAATGGATCTGTGTGTCTGTGTGTGTGTGCGTGAGAGGAAGGGGTCTTATGAACCCCCCCATCCCAAATCCATCTTTTAAGGCAAGCCCACCTCTCCAAATTGCCTTTGGCTTCCTCTTAAAAGGATCGCCTGCCCGCCTTTAAAATGAAACAAAATATCAAAATAAAATAACGAAAGTGGTGCCACCCGTGCCAAGCTTCCCCGTGTCAGCAAAGCCTAATTTAGAAGGCCACCTTGATCCCATCGTCCCCAGCCGCCTGGGGAGGATGGGAGCTCGACGCCAGCCTCTCTCCAGGGAAGCTCCCCTTCTGCAGATGGATCAGGGCGGGCTGGCTAGGGATATATTCGTTTTGCCAGCCCACCCCATGGCCCGGCAGGGTCTCCCCGCATCCCGCTTACACCCCCCCCCATTTCTTCAAAAGTGACCCCCAAACTGGGGCTGGGCTGCCCTCCAGTGGAGGATCCCCAGAACTGCAGGGAGCCTTTCCACGCCCTGCACCTTCTCCACTTGCTCTGCATAAGACGGGGAACCTGAAGGAGGCTGCAAGTTCAGACCAGAAACAGGAAGAGTCTGGTGGGACCCCGAAGGATGGCGTGCTTTCTTAGGGGGGAGACGCTCTGGATGGCTTCTCCAGGGGCAGCCGCTGATGTAAGTTGAAAGCCGCCAAAAAGCGACGCCAATCCAACGGAGCATGCTGTATTTTAAAGCACCGCAAGTCTCTCCGGCGTTCCCTGGGCCGGACGCGTCTGCTGCTTGGCTGGAGCTTTGGGGAAGAGGCCCGGCCACCCGCCCTCTCCGGAGAGGTCCAATCTCACTGGGGTCCCCCTGCAGGCGCACCTTCCCACCCTCATGGAACCAGAAGAGACGCGAGCTTGGGGGGTGGGGGAGGGAGAGGGGAAGGGCTGCCTGAGCCTGCCCCCCCTCCCCCCCCAGGACAAGCCTCCACATTTCAGTTCTGGCTTTGCTTTCCAAGAGGGAAAGAGGAGGAACCCCATCCCCCAAAAAGGTATAGATTCTCGATTCTCTTTAGGTGTGGCCTTCTTGTACGGAGAGGGGTCAGACTAGATGACCCCACGGAAACCCTTCCGACTGATTGTCTCTGGAGGGAGGCCAGAGGTCTACTTGTGGCCTGGCCCACCCTTCAGGTCAAGGGAAAGAATGGGCAGGTTTCACCCTGCTTGGGGTGGGGTGGGGGGATCCTGGCATACCCAAAAAGTCCTGCAAGGCACCCAAAACTCCCCCCAACCTGTAACCCCGAATCTGGCCTTGCCGGACTCTTGTTTTGCAAGCAGAAGGCCTGGCTTTCCAAATATAAATGCAAGCCCGCCGTCCTCAAACCCACCCACCCATCCATCCCACCCTCTGCTTGCCATTTTGGGAAAGCTTTATTCTTCTTGTTTTGCTGCATCGCCGTGAGGGCAAAGGGCCAGGTGGGAGGGCCAGGCCGGGCTCAGTGCTGGGTGCTGCTTGGCTTCTCCAAACCTCGCCTCGAGGGCCAGGGTGGGCAGGCAGGAAGGGGGTGCAAGGCACTTAAGCAAAAGAGCCGAATGAACAATCATCACAAGGTTTTGCTCGGTTGTGGGGAAAAGGTGACACAGGACAGCCAAAAGATTTTATTGAGTCAACGTGTCCGGGTACCAAAACATTTTACAGGAAATCTTAGAAGAAAAGGCGTGAGCACATTTTTGGGGTTGTTATTATTGTTATTTTGCTTTTTCATTGTTGTTAAAAGACCAACAGCTTTCGGGGGGGGGGAGACATCTATGGCAGGAAAACCCTCCCAAAGGTGGAAGTGAAGGTCCCAAGACCCTCTCCTCCCCCCCAACCCTCCATCCCCCCCACCCCACCCAAAGAGAGGGAACCGGGGGAGGGGCAGGGGAAAGCTGCGGGGGAATTAGTCTGGATTAATAAATTAGGGCTCGTGAGCTGCTGGGATTCGGTGCAACCACTCAGGAATCCTGATAAGGCCATGCAAGCTGACACATAAATTATTTCAATCCCCCCCCAAAGGAGGTGGAATTCAGATCTGCTAATTGTCCATCTAACGAGAGAGACAGGGAGCGTGCGAGGATGCTGTCTCTCTCTTTTTTAAAAAAAGGTGGCTGTTCTAACACTCTCGGAAGAATTTAAAATAATCGAGAGGGTGCTAAGCATCCTGTTGGAGAGTAGGCGAAGGGAGCAACGCGCCCAGGGATGGGAGTCAGGATTCCTATAGCTCCCCCCCCCCCGAAAAAAGCTACACGCCAAAATAAAATAAAAAAAGAACTGATTCCCGTCTTTCCTAAAAGCTCTTCCATTGACCTAAGACGTCCTTTTTAACCTTTGTGGATTTTCTGTTTCCTTTAAAAAATGTTATTCCTATTATTTTAATGTGTTTCTGTTTTTTCTTTTTTTTTTCTTTTCCTGCCTGATAGCTTTCGAAGGGTCCACCCCGGCTGGGGAAGGAAAACGGGGAGGGCAACGTGTTAAGGCTTTATTAGTCATTGTGTCCCCCCCACAAGGTTGTGGGGAAAGGGGAGGAGAGGGCCAGGAAGAGGGAGAAAAGGCAAGGGGGTTCACTCTGCCCCCCCGCCCCAGAAACAGTGCTACTCAGCCCCCCCGTGCTATCAGCTCACATTCACACAGAAATATTACACCTTCGCATCTACAGTGTACAGCACTCGCTTTAGCCAGTGTAGAGAGAAAGAATTTTTTTTTTCTTTTAAGGCAGCTGTCCTGCTTTTTCATTTCCTTTTTTTTAAAACCCAAACTTCTCCGTGATCATTATGCATTCGGGTATGGAAGGTATTTTGGGGGTGTGTGTGTGTGTCAGCCAAGCTTATGGGCAAAGAAACTGGCATTCCTACCTGGCTGAAGCCGGCCCGGGAACGGAGAGGGTGGCCCCCCACCGGCCTCTGCCGCTCGAAACTTGTTTGCCAAAAATAAGCCAGAAGTCTTAAATACCCGTTAGAGGAAGAGGGAAAATGTTCTCCACCCTCTCGGCTCCATCGCTTGGGTTCCTGGCTGTCAGCCCCACCACGGTTTCAAGACTACGGCTCCCACCAGGCTTAGTCAATGGGGTTGTGGGTCAGTCAAGGGTGTGTGTGGGGGGAAACACACTCCCCCAGTCACCCCCTTGGATGGCATCTTGTCGGCAACTGTGCCAGGAAGCCCCCCACCCCGATGACCTGATTTGCCAGGGCCCCCCACCTCTGCCCTAGGAC